GTTATAGAAAATTAAATCGGTGGAATTTGAGAGGTTTGATCTGCCCCAATAGTAATAAAAAGGTTTTCATAAGTTACATTAGAGCTTTATGATTGGTTTAGAGCTAAATGATAGAGCTTTGAACTTGAAGGCTCAATTTTAGCCTTTAGAGAGAGAAAGTTAGGGCAAAAATCTATCTTGAGTGAAATAAGACCTGTTGAGATCATGTAAAGTAGTAATTAAATAATTATAGACTTAGAATAGATAAATGGAAAAGAGTTTATGGATGAATATAGCCCTAAGTAGCAAAAATGAGTTTGATTAAATAGACCAATTAACTAAAATGTGCCAAATGTATTCAAATTGGCATATTGGATATGTGAGTAGAGAAGGAAGCTTGTGATAAGCTTGTGTGATAGTTGAAATCCACGGGGTAACCTTTCTAGTGATAAAAGGGTTGAGGTAATCGAATAACTTTTTTGTTTTTTGACTATTTATTGTAACTGTATGTTAGTATGCCATGTAATGCATGAACTAGTTTGAATTAAATATATTTTGTGGCATTGAGTGATTGTGTGTGTAAAATGACTTTTGGTCAAAATGAGAATTGAAATTGTGTTTTGTAATATAAAGTGCTATAATATGTATGTATGTATGTATGTATAAGAAAGTGTAAATTGTAAAAAGGAAACCCTTAAATAGTTTGAGAAAGCACGATTAGAGTGGTGGGAGTTCACCCGAGAGTATAAGAGATGATAAAAATTATATGGCAAGGTTTCCTTAATACCCTATTAAGGTGCGATATTGGAAACAATTCTCCTTATTGCCTTGAAAGGTGCTATGTATGTAAAAGAAGATCTCCTGAGTGTCTATTAAGATACTGTATTAGAGATGAGAGACTCCTTAGTATCTTTGTGATATGGGTTAGATTCAATGACGCCCTATTGTGTGTACTGGGAGAAAACCATAGTCCGTATTATGTGTGTTAGAACATCTTTAGCCGGGTGACTCTAACACTGCGGGTGAGCTCAAGACTAATGAGAGTGTACATTAGTCTGAGATGTGCCTGTGGTTTCATGTCGGAGTGATTTAGAGGTTTGGTTGGTAGAGATCATGCTAGTATTTTATGTGATATAATGAAATATCTTGAGGTAACACGGAATCTTTTGGGATTGATGAAAAGACGAAAAATAAATGTGATATGTGATGAAATACTACTTAATGAGAGGTTTTAATGGTATATTATTTACTTTCATATTGTTGCATGTGTGTGATAGTCAATAGGAATAAGTTATTCTGTTACTGAGATTTTTATTTCACCCCCATGGTTACATGTTTATAGAATCAAGAAGTGATCAGGCTAATGGAAGAGAGTCTGAACCGGTTGAGTTGAGAAGCCGTGTACTCTGAGGTTGTGTAATGAACTGAATTAAAGATTGTATATATAAGTATATATGAGTTGCCATAGGTTGCATGCATGTATTGAATTGAGTTTTTATGAAATCAACCCCCCTATGTGTATATGTGTGTTGTTTAAGACAAAGGGGCTTTAATTTGAATATGTTTGTATTGCAATGGTCATATGTTGGTGAATCTTAGGCCAAAGGATAATTATGAGGAAATGAGTAATTTAGGGGCTAAGATTGTATTGTGATTATGATTGGTGAATCTTAAGCCAAGGGATGAATATAATGAAATGAGTAATTTGGATGCTAAGATTGTATTGTGGATATGATTTCATATGTATAAGTTGAGAAATAGCCGAGTAGGCTAAGTTATGCCAAGAAATGGCATAGATAGTATGTTAAGTTAGTGAATTGTGAAAATTGGTCGTCGAATGGTTAAATTTCAATATTTAAGTATGATTGTGATTAATTGTGGTTAATCAGGTGTGTATTAGATCCTTTTGGACTTAATTCAAGGCCTAGCCTGTGGTCTAATAAGAATAAGGGATTGATTTGAGCGTTTGGATGCGCAAATTTTTTAGAAAAAGTGACTTTGTACCCGGGTGTCTAAATTTTGATCAAACCATTAGATCGTGTCTAAATTTATCTCATTAGTTAGTATATAAGCTAAGCTTCATGTAGGCACTTGAATCACTCTGATCGAATGTCATACGAGAAATTAGCACCCACTAGAAGTTCGTCATTTTTTGCTGTCAAAATGACAGTAGAAAAATGGACAGATGCGCCGCAGCGCATAGTGACACATGCCGCGGTGCACAACACAAATAGGGTGAGCGTGTGACTCTGTGTCACATGCCGCAGTGCACTGACCATCCGCCGCGATGCACGTACTAAGTTTTAGTTTTCTTTTTGAGTTAAATTGTATGCAATTGAGATAGCAATACTGGTGAGTTATGTCCACTATGTATTTGAGGAGTGCATGATTTATTTTTGTTGTATTTTTCTCTGATTGTGTTGTAAACTGATCAGTGTTATAAAATAAATCTTCAGCCGAAGGTTTTAAAAAATAAAATTTATTATGAAGAATGATAAAAGGTAGTGATAACATCGTAATCTTCTTCTATATTAAGTGGATATAGGAGGAGGTTATAGTATTTGAGTCCATCACATGTGAATTCCAAATGAGTACATTCATTAACAAACAATTAATTAAAAGGAGAGACTCCCCCAGCCAACTCCTTGGCCATTGCAACATCCTGTCCAAAACTATCATTTCCCTCCACAACATTTTGATCAATACCTAACTCTGAATGCTCCAAATCCATTTGATTAGACCTTATCCCATTCTCTAATCCCCTTTCATGACTCCCTTGACCACCTCTCAGCCCAATATCCAAAAAAATTAGATTTGTCAAACATTACCCAACTTAGTTTTGAAAGTTAGGCCTTTAGATTCAGATGGCCTAGTATCCAAATTAGCAAAAGAGTTGGAACAAAAGACATCAATCCCTCCGTTACTAGCCATGTGTCTTCCCTTTGTTGGTGCCACATTCTCTTTTCCTCTTCCTTTAACCTTTATTATGGCCTTTCTTTTAACTCCAATTGGGGGGCCGCTTAGATTGGCATTTTTCAAATTCAATTCAATGCTAAATATACAAATTCCTCCTTTGATTTTCCTTTATTATTTTATCTCCCATTATCTCCATGTCTAGCTAATCCTACACGCACTCTTGATTTAATCTCAGACTCCTTAACCCTTCCTTGATTTTCATATCAAAATTTACAAATCTCTTAGCATTCATTTTATAATTTCTATTGCGAAAATCATGCCTAATCAACATATCAAGTGCAAATCCTTTCTTTGGCAACTCCAACATAACCTCATCGGTAACTACCTTTTCTTTCATCACCGAAATCGTATTGCCTTTGTCATGGTTAGTTTGATCATTCAATATTTTATTCTAATCCTTAGAAGGATTCACACTCAGAATATTAATCTTCTTAAGGCACACTTCTCGATGATGTCCATATTTTCTACAATGGAAACAAACTAGATGAAGACCTTCATAATGAATCTTGTAATCTTCGCCCTACCATGTAAAACATAGTAAAAGAGGTTGACTCAAATCAATTTCAACACAAACCCGAGCAAAGCCCCCTTTATTAGAAATTGAAGTTAACATGTCAAGCTTCAAAATAACACCTACCATATTTCCAATCCGACGCAAGCATTCCACATTATAAATTTCCATCGGGATATCCAAAATTCTAATCCACACAGTAATCTGATGCTATCTCTCAACCTTTTATAGATTCAAATTTGGTCTTCATTTTTGAACAAGTAAATAATGATCATCTACCATCCAAGGCCCTTCCTAGCAAGCATATTAGAAAAAGAAACAATGAAATAGCCATTGCTCAGTGACATAATTCGCATAGGTTCCTTATTTTTCCACATTTGAGTCAAGTGAGGTTGTAGAAAACACAAAGTAATGTTTTCAGTAGTTTTACCTGTCAGTAGTTTAATAATCAAAGAGTTTGTCCAAGGAAGACACCAAGCTTCATATTCCTTCTTAGTGGACTTTAGCTCAGGAATCTTTTGCTTCCTCAACTCTACCACCTCTTCCTTATAATCTGATCCGTTGGACCTCACTTTTAGTTCTTGCTCTTGAAGCTTAGCCAAATAATCCTTCCATCCATTCATAATATCGAAATAAGGTTCATTCTTTGTCAAGAAACCAACAGGGTTAGACTTACTTAACATGAATCCTTATAAGAAATCATTCTTCTCTAACTATGATTCTCAACCTTTCCTCCTTGACTAATGAATAGCTCATCTCTTCCAACCTTCATACTTCAACCTCTAGGAACGCCCTCGAATCACCGCCACTGCCTTCACCCTTCTTTGGTACACTGCTCTCACCACTCTTTTCGCCACTCATTATTGCCTCTTTTTAGCAAAGTCATTATTCTCTGTCATCATATTTTAGCGCAACAAAAACACTTTTAGATGTGGCAAAATTTCTCTTACACCATTTTGAACTACAATATAAGGTATTGATTATTATTTCATGGTTTTGAAAAGAGTTAGTTGAAACTTCATTTTTTTTAAAAAAAAAATTCACATGTTTTCAATTATATCCTTATCAAATATCTTATAATACTACTTTGCTAATAATATTTAAATTTCAATGCATTATTTTTTCATAGAGTAATAGATGAAGTAAAGATATGTTTAAAAAATAATTATAAAATTATCTAATATTTTATATTTTGAATCAAATAAAGTTTATCAAAGATGTCTTACATTGCAATTCAGAAAAGTCAAGTGACAAGAAAAAATCATGACATATACATTGGCACTCACATGCGATCCAAAATGGATGTAAAACAAAACCTTCTCTCAATTCTCCGCTAAAATTCTCCGCACCAGTTCTCAATTTGATTGCTAGTTTGTTATGCTAGTTTTATAACCTATTAATAATAATTTATTAAATTATAGATTATATATATATATATTATATATATTAATTATTAATAATAATTAATATTTTACGTTTTGAATTAAAGAGAGTGGCGGAGCGTAGCCGATAACAGTGTGGTGCAGAGTACGGTAGGAGTTATTGGCCAAGCTAAACGCTTCTATACGCGCGGCCAAGCTCGCTTCAGACAAAGCTTCTCTTTTTTGGATTTGCCATCTCTCCCTCTTCTCCCCGCGGAGGAGAGAGAGAGAGACTTTGAAGAGTCCATATTTTACGTGCGAGCAAAATAGCATTCCCAAGCAACGAATAAATTCTCTTCTTCTGTCTTCTAGGGTTTGCGTTCCCGCCATTGTCGACCTTGCTCGCTGCCGCTCCTTCCCCCTGTTCTGCACTGGCATTGCTCTGAGATCATCTGTATTTCCCTATTTGATTTCAAATTTCGGATTTATTCCCCTTTTAATAGGATTCTGATTGGTCTATTGGTCTATCCTTTTTCTTTTGGTTTAAGGTGAAGTTCTGCTTTGTTACTGCGATGGATATTTTTTTTAAAATTTCCGATGCTTCGTTTTTGCAAATACGTGGTTTGTATTTCGGCGCTTTGCTGATTGGCTGGTATTTTTGATGAAATTGGTTGTTTAGATATAGGTGTTTTGAAAGTGATGTGATTGTTGTAATGTGCAGATATACCATATCCTGCTCTCAATGGTATGCTCGTTTGGGAGTGGGAGAATGGCAGTCATTGCAAGGCTTCTGGCTGCTGGCAGGTTCTCCCAAACTAGGGCAGGTAGTTTCAGTGATGTTAACTGTTTTCTTAGGGTTGGAAGTTAGTTAAAACTGCCTTATAATTTTGAATGGAGGGAGTTTATTGTTTATCTGTCAAAGATCGGGCCTTAGAAAATTAGTTTATTTGATAATTATTTTGTTTGAATAATTAAATATTTGTCGAATATTATTCAAAACGTATGATAAGAATACGCCTTTTTTAGAGGTCTAACCCCCTGAAGGCGTCTTTCATCTTTAACTACATTGATTGTATTCAGGCTTCAGTTGAGGGATAAAATGTACTTTCTCCTTTTTTTTTCGTAAGCCTGTTGATTATGCTTAGCTTTGTATGCTTTCGCAATGTGTACTTAGTAAAGTAATAGAGAAACAGTTATTATTCTTTTTAACATCTGATCAACATTGTACTTCGTTGGAAATCTTTGGAAGAGGAGATTGGCCATCAGAAGTCAGCTGCTGAATACGTTTTCAGAGATCTGCGAGATGCAGATGAAGCAAATTTGCTTGATGAAGAAGGTGTCCACCTTCATTATACTCATCGTTTTAGTTTTGGCTTGATTTGATTACTGAATAAAGGCAATTTCTGTCAATGCATTGCTCAGACGTTTCTCTTTAAAATTGAATAAATGATTATATGACCATTTATTTTGTTGAAAATAGGCTTCTTCAATGCGCCATTGGTAGTTGTGGCTGCACTAGCTTGTTTTGTATATTCTATTTTGCTATCCTGCTTCTATTTTTGCCTTTGGTTAAATTTTTTATGAATAACACTTAAAACATGCATCACTTTGCCATTCTATTTTGTCTCCTTTTTGTTTATTTGAATTTTTGTGTATAACATGCAGACTTCTATAATGTTGGACAGCCCTGGTGATTAATTGTAGACTATCTCTTACTTTAACAAGATTTTATAACTCATGAGTATAGGAACTTCATTATTAAAAAAAAAATTAATTCACAATGTGAAATTAGAAGATACTGATGATAAAACCGATATTCTTAAATTAACCCACACAGATGTACATCCCCCTTTTGTGAGTCATAGAAGTACTATTGTCTTGGATTGGAAAGAAATTGTGGTGGACTTGTTTTAAGGAGCAAAAGTTTTCTAGGTGTCATCTCATACTTCAATACATCTGTTTGAATCTTAGTATAGTCTATTAGCCCTTTGTATCCCTATTTACAGAGCTACAGGAGCCCATTTATTATCATCCCTTCTTATGGCCTAGTGAAATCAAGAAACTGTAAAACTTGGTTTTATGCACTGCTATAAAAAATGGTTATATATATATATATATATATTTCTATATTTCACTTAGCTTACAGCTTTGCACCTGAAACTTTCTCACTAAATTGATACTGAACTCTCTTAGAAGAAATTTCACATCAACACTGATGCTTAGAGAAATAATAAATGGTCCCAAAGCTCAAATTTATGTGCAACAGGCATACCTTAAGAAATGCCTGTTTAATTTGTTACATTCATATTTGTCAAATAGTGATAGATATTTGAATTGGAGAGTGTATTTTTGAATTGCAAGTCATAGCATGCATTGAATCATAAGATTCTGCAACAATTAAAAAATAACTTCATGTATGAAATATGACATGTTTTAATCCTTAAGATATGCATGAAACACTCAAGATAGTAAATCTAACCAAAAAGATAAGAAAAATTCTTTAACATAGGTCATGGGTTAGCTTATTAGTCGTAAATTCGTAAGTAATTAATTCTTGAAATCATCTCAAGTAATATATTGATTTGCTTTTTTTTTTTTTAATTTCAAGATATAAGCCAACACTTAACAACATTACGGCAAGCCAAACCAACACCAACTCACTGTTTTGATGCAATTTTGAATTGTAAAATTGTGCTTCTGTGTATTGATTTGAATTGCTCATTTATGGTTAATTCAATCATCAATTCATTTCATTGCCTTTAAGATTCATTATGAATCTAAGGTTTGGGTTGTGAATTGCTCTATGCTGATAACTTTGGTTATATTCTCAATAGCTCAAGGTACTGCCCTTCAATTCTTTCACATTGTCACTTTAGAACTTGAGAAGGAGGAACTAGTTATGTCCCTCAATCTGAACTCGTTGAATTAAAATATGGGATATTTATGCCTGTCTTTTGTTTCTCCTTTTTTTAGTTTTCAGCTTTTCACACTACTGCTTAGTGTATTTTCTATTGCAGATATGCATGTGTATGGTTTGAGACCTATGTCTGATCCCTTGCAGCTGGTAAGGTTTGCTTCTTGTTAACTTTTTTAAATCCACGCTAGTGGCATTAAATTTAGTTACTGGGAATAGAATGCATACACAAATGTTATTGGGAAACACCCCTGAAACAACTGTAGCTTAATGTATTCTAGTTACCTTAATTTACATATATTCAGTTTCGTGTTATGATTGTAGTGTCTGTCTTTTTTGTAAACTATTAAACAATGTATGACCCTAGCCACCTTGTACTATTGATAGTTGGAGTAAAGGATATGATAATCAAATCTGCATTTGTGTGCATGCACCATGTAGGGAATGGGGCAGAGTACTTACTGCATTCTTTAAGCTCTGTAAGTTGTCACTATTGTGTAAGCTCTTTGCTTTTGCATGTGATGCATTCTTTGATACCTTGTTATTCGAACTTTTTAGGTGAAATACTCAATTCCTTTCTTAAATCATGTGATGCTTATTGCTTTGCAAGGGTCATAGCTGCTTTGACCTCTTGCTTGATTTTTATTCATTAGGAGTTTCTCTTGTATGCCACAAGAAGGGGGCTCCTGTTTCTGAAGTAGTTTTTGTTGGTCAACAGAAAAACAGTTTTTGATTTTGATGTCTGCCTCCTTACATAGTGTCATACTCATCACATAGACAGCCTCCTGCATGGTTCATTGGAAGCAATTTTTGCCTTTCATATCAACTTTTTTAAATTGTATAATTGCTTGACATATGTAAATATGTGTGTATGTTATTCACAAAAAAATGTGTGTGTTGACATTATTTCCTTGATAATAAAGTACTTTCACTTAAGATAATTGATTGTTTGTATAATTTTGAAGGTATGTTGCAATGCTTGCAAGAAGCCCATCCAGGCCAGCCAATACGCTGCTCATGCAGGTGGGACTGGACTTTATTTATCTTTGGCCCTTTGCATGAGGTCTGAGAATTCACAATTTGTTAGCATGTGGCATTAATGCTCATTTGTTTTCCATAAAAAATTCTGTGCATCTATTTCTATTAGTTTCATATTTCGTATAGGTCTGCATATGATTCTGGCTATTTATAACCGGCTTCTTATTTTTGGGCTCCTTTTGTATGTGAAAAGGGTATGAAATCACTAATATTGGTTTTTACTTTCTTTGTCTCTCTTTGCTGCCGACTCTTCAGAACTTTGTAGGTCATTAAAGTATGCAGAACAAACCATTTTGGAGGTTGATGGCAGCATGGGCTATCGAAAGCCCCCCAGAAAAGAAAAGAAAAAGTTATCATCAACTTCTTGTGCTAGTATCCACATGATAATAATCGAGTTAATTATTCAGCTGCAAATACTGTTTAGCGCTAAGTTTCATCCCTGATTTTATCTGCTGAAAGTGAAAGTAAATTAATGATTTATTTACCTTTGAATATTCTATGTAATTATTGCGTCCTTTGAAAATTATTTTAGGTGTACCTTCAACTTAATTTCATTAAAGCAGTCTTCTCTAGTTGTTCTAATTACATGCTAATCACAGTTAGTTGTAATATAAGTATTTGTACCTCCTAACCTCTCGAAGATCAAGCTCCAGCAGTTGGGGAGGAGGGAAGGGCTGAGGCTGTGGATTCTATTGATGCCGCTGTGCCACCATCCCATATGAATGATCAAATTAGAGTCACTTGCTATTCCAACGATGGTAAAGGTTAAAACATTTTTTCCTGTGTTACTCTTTCTGTTCTCATCCTTCATACATGTCATTCCTAGCCCCCCTTTTTGCTGATGGTTAACCCAGTTTGCTGCATGTATCAAGTTTTGCTTGGACAAATCAATTTGTTTATTAGTTTCTGGAAAAACAATGACATCCAGGCCAGATAAACATGATTGCTGCAATGCTTATAACTTGTATTTGATTTAATCACTCTGAACCTTTCCTCCTCCAACAACCAAATAAATTTTAGCTATGCCTTGAACATGATTTTTGTAATGGAAAAATTAACTTTCTTCCCTTTGAATCCTCTTGCTGTTGGAAAAGTATATCGCTATGGAAGTGTGGCTTATTGATTTATTTCAAAATTGATTAAAGAATGGGAACAAAAATATATTTTTTCACAGATAATGCGATGTAGGTAGTTGACATTAAACATCCTTAGGTTGAGATGGGTGATGGGTCGCATATATAGTTTTAAGCTTATTTTCTTGGCAATTTGGTCGGGTATATCTAACGGGTTTGTTTTGAAGGAGTAATGTTGAGTTTCTGCTAAAGATTTCAGTTATGCTGTAAAGCTGATGTGCTAATTAATTTGAAAGCTTCATCATAATACCAATTTCCTTAAATACTCATGTAGATGCAGCATCTATGATGGATGGTACAGGATTTAAACTTGGAAATAGAGATCACCCAGCTTCTGTAATGCAACCTCCAACAAAACGCCGTAAATTGTATGCTTTCTTAGTTCTCAAGACATTTTTAATTGTTGAAGTCGGATCAATTTGACATCATTATTGCCTTGTGCCTAGAAAATGTGTTGCTCAATAAATCTGTTCTTTTTCAGTGTCTTCGGGGGAAAAGATTATAATCAATAGAAAACGTTTTCAAACACCTTGTTTCATGTTGAATATCTCCCACTCATCTCCCTCCTCTCAAAAAGTAGTTCTTCATCAAGTAGAAAACCCGTTGCTAGCCTAGCAAGAAGTTTTAAATCAACAATGAAATATTTTGGCGTCAGGCTCAATAAAAAGCTTGTGATTCAATCTTTATGAAATCAAGACCAGCTATGATGCATATGATATGCTTGGAATGCTATATTATTCCAAACTGCTGGCGGGAAAGCCCTGTAGATAACTGAGTTAAATTTTAAGACACTGTTCACTCAACCCATCTTACTCATTATGCAGTTTTTACGCTTTATATATATATATATATATATTAAATTTACATTAGGAGGGTTTGAACCTTGGATTACTCATTTTTACCACCTGAGCTGCTTTCAAGCATCTTTGTTTGTCAAGTATTGTGCTCATTCTTTCTCTGCAGGATTGGTGGAGTACATTCACCTCTACCAGAAAGTCCTGCAACAGAATCTAGAATAACAAGACCAGCTAGCTTTGCAAATAAAAATACTTGCAAAGGTGCGTGTATGTCTGTTGAAGTTGTTTGTTACATCTGAAGTCAGAACTTATGGGGATGAGTGTTTTCTTGTACATTCTGGTCAATATTTTATCATTAACAAGGGAGATAATTATAATTTTGATCATAAAAAAATATACATAGTTTTAATTCTGGGTCCGTGCCTAATATCATCCCAAACTGGCTCATATGAATGTTTTAATTTGCTTCTACTTGGTTGTTCTTTACATTGTATTTGTACTGGATGTGAAGCATACTGGGGGCATGAAAGGGTCGACTAGAAGATAGAAATTTGAGAAGGGACCAAAATGAGAAAGCAGCCCTTCCCTGGCACTAGTGTCATATTTTTTATTTAGCACAGGCAAACAGGCATCAATTGTTCTATGTCTAAAGAAAATCATTCCATTGCTTTTTCATTCTACTTGATTCTTCTTTTAACGGAAAAAGTAACTACTGAAACTGATCTTTTCTTATCTACACCTGTGCTCTTATTGACTTTCATTTGTAATAAACACAGTGCACACTTTGCTAAGATGTAATTTCAGGTCTAGAACTTGGAAAAATTTTGTGGTGATTCTACTCTTACTGTATTGTATAATCATCTTTGTGGGAGGGAGGCATTACCTAGTTTTTTTAATTTATTTTATTATGTAATCTCAGGTCTAAAACTTCAAAAAACTTTATGGTGATTCTACTCTTACTGTATTGTATGATCATCTTTGAGGGAGGGGGTTTTGATTTATTTTGTTTTGTTTTTCAGGTGGGGATATGTTGGAAAGAACTGTCTCTGAAAATGGAGATCCAAGCCATAAAAATTTTGGGCTTGTCCAAGAGCAACACCTTACAAAGAGAGGTATTATGGATGATATATGTTCAGTTAATTCGTTAACCCTATAATTCTTGTGGAAAGTTTGTGTAACCTTTTCTAAATATTTCCTTATTCTTCAATTCTTATGGTTTCTGATATATCCTGCCATTCTCTCCCTCTCGTGTGTTGCTAACAACGTATGTTTCAATTGAATTAGACGGTCCTGCACCCCTTGCTACCAAGGTGTATTATTCACAAAGGAACAATCGTCTGCGTGCAGCTCTTCGTCATCTTTATTTTCAGGAATCAAGCAATGAATTATGTACAGATATTGCCAGTCCAAAGTCCTCAAATGAAACGTTAGCGTTCCAAGATTCACATCATATAGACCCTTCATTTGGACAAAAGGATGATGATAACACGGAGGTATTTGATTTTCTCTCGTATGATTTTAGGTTAGCTACTTTTATCACATCCTTCAACAAAAAGGTTATGTGGCTTGTTGGAATACTAATGCTGACTGTATACATGAAGCATGCATGATCTAACTGAAAATCAGCATGAAATTTGGGTCTCTCTTTTGTCTTTTTGTCTTTTTGTTAAAAGAAGGAAGCATATGATATTGATATCTATTGTCCGGCTATACTTTCCTGTCTTGAGTTGGTAAGTGAACAAGCTCTGACTTGCATCATTATTTCTTTCGGAAAACAGTGCCTCTTGCCAAATTTGAGCTCAGTGCGAAGTCCTAATCATATTCTTGCGAAAAGTTCAGACATTTGCTTGCGTAAGGCAGAAGACCTACCGGCTAGCAACTTGCCAAATCAGTTTGTTGTTAATGTTTCAAGGCCTGCAGCTCCTCATCTTGGTTTGACAAGAAGCAGCTTTCTTCCAAAGCCTTATTCTTTTGCAAGCAACACAGGTAATCTTGTAAATTCAATTTTGGTCTCATTCACTATTTCACTAACTTTTCAATGCCATTTTCTTAACATATCCTTAATTAAGAAGATTCAGAGACCATTAAAAGAATGTCTCTTGACTGACTATAAGAATGTCAGTGGATTCACAGCGTTAACTGAGGTGATATGACTGGCATTAAAGTGCATGCTTTGACAAAGAGACAAATAGACATGATGCATTGCTACCTTGATTGAATTTAAATGAACAACTGTCTTACACAGGATAGCATGTTTGTATCGTTGTTATTTTTCGAGTTAGATTATTGTGATGACGGGAATAAGTTCAAGTTGTACACTAGAGTGATATGTTTGCTTTTGTAGGAAATCCAATGAGAACAATTCAGCAATCAAAGGGGAGTGTTCCTGTTATATAGTAATCTTGGAGGGATTTATTTTTTTCCCCTAGGTGAAATTATAGTTCAATTAATACTCGAGGTTAGGATTTAGCATCCCTTTTTTCGAAGCTGATAAAGCAATTTTCTCAAATTGTTTATTCTATCAGTGTCATCTGCTTTGTAAATGAACTCTGATCTCTGCTATATATAGAATGAAAGTTCGGAAATTTTTTAGTTCCTTGTCTGGAATTTATGCTTTTGTTGCTTGCTAATACAAGTGAGGTGTTATTTCCCCTTTTCATTAGCTATTTTTTAAGACCGACCCAGAGTTCTCAATAAACGAATTAAATAACAAATGAGAAAAGAATGCAGCAGCGGGCTCATTGCAGTAGAGGATTGCACAATATATGGTTTTACAAGGTTTCTTGATCTGTGAATATTTCCTTTGGACGTGAAACTTTCATTGGGCTGGGTGCTCTTAATTCTGGAGAGTGTAGTTTTGGGCCCAATTATCATGCTCAGTTGTTAAAAGTCTGTTACTTATACTGGTGACGCTGTATCTCCAAACAGTCACTTTGAGAAAGCTGTCTGACTTGATTCTTTATCTCTTTTCATCTGATTTATTCTGAATCAAGAAACTGTTGAAGTAGTAGATTTCGGGAATTTTGTGCACAAATCACTTCACTTTCCCATGTCTGGACAGGACGAGAACCACGTATGGATTGTTAATTTAAGTAGTAGCAGACATGAGATAACCTCAATCAGAGAAAGTCAAGAATGTTATATTGTGATGCAACACTCATGCCCTTTAGAGAGCATGGGATTAAGTGGTAGATATTTTGTGAAATATCTTGCATGATGTAAACACTGCACTGCCACTGCATATGGATAAATGCAAAGGGGATGCGATCCGATTCAAACGAGGGAATCAATCAAGTATTTATTTGTTTCAAGGCTTGTGGGGGACCGGGTAAGTGGCTGAGATGTTGGTGTGAAAGCGACAGATTTGTCTCTCGTACAGGGGATGAAGATGATGTAAAAGTGGCCATCTCATAAATATCCAAAAGCAGAATCTTGGTTTGTGCCGCCTCAACAGCAAAAAAGAAAAGGAAACAAAAAAATCTGTGAAATATCTGGAATAAGTTAGCCCACAGGTGGAAGCAACTAGATCAATGTCTTGTTGGGGGGGTAAAAAATTTAAAATTGATCCGTTTCTCTTTCTATCACTGATAATGACAAGCCTGTCTTAGAGAACGTTTTTGCTTTGGCTGTCGTCTCCAATCCTTGTGGTATATGGAGGTGGTGCTCAATGTCATATTCATTTTCCTATATATATATATATATATATATATATAAAGGTTAAAGTGTAATTTTGCCCTTAAATTATGAGGTTAAGAGGCTAAACTTTTTTTTGGGGTGTAGTTTTGCCCTCAACATTTAGAAATGTCATAATATGCCCTCTTTTGTTAATTATTAGAAGGGAGCATGACAATTAAAGACCACTTAAAAATAGTTAATACTAAATCAGGATTATTTTAATAGATTTTCCTGTTGAATCATAGGAGATATTGAGTGTTGAATTTGGGAATTTAACTTATAATAAAATCTTGATTTGACATTAATTTTATTATGAGGTCTTTAGTTTTCTTTCTCCTTTAAGAAAACATCGAGTTAAGTTGTGAGAGAAAAAGATGATCTTAAAACATGTAACAACCTTTATCTTGTAATCAATGAAAGGGGCACACCGTGACCTTTTTAAATGTTAAAGGCAAAATTGCAACTGATAAAATTTTAGGATCTTATATGCTCGTGAACATATAATTTAAGAATAAAATTACCTTTTTACTATATATATACATGGATATGAAATTATATGATGTATAATATTATTAGATCATATTTGAGCATTATTAAATTCAATATATTTTTTATATTCACATATCAACGCAAATTTAAAGTTCTATACCTATGGTCATATCCTTTACCAGGACAATGCTTGTTGGCTTATCATATTCATATTCTGGCCGCTCATCATTATCACCCTTTTCGTATCTATGGACTCTCATCATCCCACCAAATGATGCTTTTTTCTAAAAAATAATATTAAAAATGGTCATAGCTTAGAATGAAACTGAAATTACTATCACAATTACAAATCCATTTAAAATTCATAAAGTTCCGAACCCAAATTTTTATCTCACGCTTTTGCCTTTATGCTTTGTAACAAGATTCGTTGGGGATCATTAGTTACTCCTCTTTTTTAAAATAAAAGAAAAAAATAAGCAAAATTTAGGTGGGCTTGTCTCTGTGACTTATTAAAATCAGGACATGTTTTTAAGTTCAAAAAATATTTATAAATCATTCACTAACAAGTTTCTAATATTGTTGGCAAGATTTGATCCTGACTTTTAATTATGGATCAAATTCTTATCAATTGGATCAATTTTTGTTGATAATCTTGGTTTTGTTTTATGTTAAAATGATACTTCTGTCCGTCCATGTTTGAGGTTTGTTTGGTTTGCGACTCTTGATTTTCAGTCTGTTTGGTGTCAAATTGGTCTTTTTAATAATAATAACTAATTATCGTTCGTCAAATACGCCGATTATATTAATCAGTACATTAAAAGTAGTTTGGATCTCTAGATTTAATGTTTATCTTTACATTGCCACTTGGATGTCTTGATTTAATTTTATAATTAAGGATAAAGAGTGCAATAATTAGTTGGGATGGATCGCCACTTTCTCAGGAAGATAACCTTGTACCCAAAGTATCCCTCAATTATTGACTTTGCGTGGGTCACAGTATTCCCAATCCCAGGCCATTTTTTGCCCAAAAGGAATTCAAAATATTAGAGGATAATTGTTTATAATTTTTTTACTTAATTATATTTATAGTCTTCAAATTTTATATAAAGTTTTAATTTAATTTTTTAATTTTATAAAGTATTTTTTTGGTCTTTAACCCAATCATCGTTAGTTTTAAATGATTATTTTTTATGTTAATTATTATTATTTAAAAAAATTAAACTTAATATGTCAACATCTGAGAATATTTTGTCAATGTTTAAAAGTTCAATATAAAAATTTATTAAAATAAAACTGACAATGCTAGAATTAAAAAAACTAAAAAAATGCTTTATAAAGTTAAAAAATAATATAAAACATTGTAAAGTTAAATAACTAAGCATATACTTTAGTTTTTTTTTTTTTTATAATTTCAGCGATAGATTCAGAGTATTATGTGGATCTTTTATCTTACAAGCCAGAGAGCTAATATAATAAAGTTATGAAATTTATATTACAAAACTTTTGGATTAATGTCACGTACTGTTTGTAAGTATATATAATATACACTTAAAAAATGTTCTCTAGGTGGGAGGCGTTAATAATAATAATAACAATAATAATAATAGAGAAATGAATAAAGGTGATCACTTGTTATTCAATCAACGTGTGTTGTTATTAGCTGTAAAGCCCTTTTTTTTTTTTTGTTGATTTGTGTTAAAAGAGCTTTTGTTGCTATAGGGGCTAGTTCTCACAACAAAGTAAAAAATTAAGGTTGGAATCTTTACTAAAAAAATTATTCACATCTAATATATGATCATGTCTCATATTATTTCTAAAAAGAAGATGCTTTTAAATAAAAAAAAAGAAATAAATAGTACATATAAATGTCTTCCTATTAGAACAAAAAAAAAAAACATGTTCAAGAAGGAACAGTTTGATATTAAATATAGACACCTTTTTTAATAAGAATTTTAAGTGTTTATTTATATGCTATCAAACTATGATAAAAAAAAACATTTCAATCATCATTATATTGTATGCAGATTTATATAGATTTATAAAATAGGGAGAATCACAATAAAGTTTCAAAATTTAAAATTTATGATAGTTAAATCTTTGACCAAATGTTTTAATAAATAAATTATAAATATTGATTTAAATAGTTACAGACAGAAATATCAATTACAAACTAAAATTTATATTTTAAATTTAAATGTTTTATTTATAATTAAAATTTCTCAATTTATGATTACATGCATCAATATTTATCACTAATTTTCAGAAAAATTTTTTGGGGGCTTCAGTGTCATAAATTTCCAAGTTTTGGCACTATAAAATATGCATCGAAATAAATTGAAGAATTAAAAATTTCATTATTTTTATATATAATTGTATATATTAAAAATATCTTGAAACCGGATGTACCCTCTGCTTTTATTTCTCTACCAAACACCTGAAAGAATATATTTTGCGAATGCGTGTGTTATTTTGCTTTTGCCTCTGCATACTAATATGTAACATCAACATTAATGTTTGTGGATAAAATAAATATAGGTAGAATCGTATTTAAATATATTTTAAGAGAATAATTCACATATAGACACTAATAACAAGTTATCATTTATTATTATTTTAATAATAAATAATTTTATATTGATCCTTATTTTTAAATAATTTTTAAAAAAAATCCTTGAATATAATTCTCCCTAAAATATAATACGCAAATAAGGTCACTCATCAATGGATAACACTTAGGTGAAATTGTTGTTTTTTACTGTCACATAATTGTTTAACGAGAAGTCTTGACCTGTACTGATTAAAATAAAAGATAAAATGATAGAAAATTTCTTTAAAGTATGTAAAATGGTATTAAGGTTTTATAAAATGTGATAATTTTTTTTAAGTCTCTTGAAACTTTTTTGACATTAATTTTTTTTAATGAAATAACTATAATGCTCCCAACTTAAAATAAAAAGAGAAATGGATAGAGCGAAACTTGCTATTTACTATCTTGTTTTAATTATAACCAGAAAAAAATAGTTATTATTTGAATTAAAATAGTTACTGATATTTATAATACTTGAATTTTAATAATTAAAAATTTTGCAAAGAGAACATTGAAATTACTTATCGTTTTAGTCATTGTCAGAAAAAAAATAGTTATTACTTAAATTAAAATAATCATTGGTATTACTTAGATCAAAGTATGAGTTAAGGTATAATTTTACCGTTAAACTATTCTTGAAAGAACAATGTTGTCCCTAAACTATTCATTATGGTAATGTTAATCCTAAATTAATTAAATTGGAGCAATGTTGCCCCCTTATTTAAACGTTTATTACTGTAGCTAGTGAGATTCATTTTTCATGAGTTAAGATGTAATTTTATCTCTAAACTATTTTTAAAGGAACAATATTTCCTTTACAGTTTAAAAATCAAAAAATTAA